AAAAATAGAGAAGAATGCTATAGGTGTTGGTGACAAAGTTAGATTGCTAAAAACTAGGCAAGCATTTCGTAGAGGATATGAGCCAAAATATAGTCAGTATATATAAGGTCATCAGTGGTAATGGCTATTCGTACTTTATTGCAGATGATGATGGTAATATTCTTCCAAAGGCATACAAATACTATGAACTACAACGTATTGAATCTACCCAACGGTTTCATACAGAATCTAGACAGAGAGAACCACGAATGACAAATAAGGAGCGTCGAAATAAAAGAGAATTGGAAGAATTGGGTAGAATTAGAGGTCCAGCTCATAAAAACGGAGAACATTAAGCGGAACTTATTTTCTAAACCAACTGTATAAATGACATTCATTAGTTTCATTAAAACTCGCCAAGCGTACATTCAATGTATTAAGAATTGGGATTCGTATTCCGTTGACGAACAAGAACAACTAAGGAAATGGTACCGAGATTACTATGCCAAAAACAAACAAGCTGAAAGGAAACGATACCGAGACTATTATGCTGCTAATACCGAGGCAGAGAAGGAGAGAGCTAAAAAGTACAAGAAAACTAAACAATCAGAGGACAATGTTTGGCTCAAAAACACACCCGATAATAATGAAATTTTCATAATAAACACAATAGTTGCAGAGATTTTCTATTTACAAGTTAATACAAAAGATACATTAATGTGGTGGAAATAGGTTTGAATGAATCGTGCTGTCTATCACGAAGATATCAAGGAGTGTACAGCTAGAACTTTTTTCCATCGTGGTGGACATTTTCAGTACTTTGCTCTCCGTGAAAGAAAGTAGCAATGTCAGTTCCACCACTGATGACTTTATCATTATCACTGCAGTCTGAAGGAGTCATCGACTGACGAGGAACTACTTGTTGCGAAGGTTTTCCACCGCGGTGGAATTGTGCTCGTTTAAAACATTCATATCGTTGTCATCCATTTCATCATCAACATTCATCCAGTAGTGTTCAGAGTAGAAATCAGAAGAGTCCAAAGCTTGACACTCTTGAGACATAAACCATTCCTTGATTTTTGGAATCATACTTTTAAACACTCTAAAGGACACTGCCAGCGTTTGGAATTTCGGATACTTTGACATAAAGGCATAGTGCTCCATGTAGTAGTAGTAAGATGATTTGGAGATGCCAAGTCTGCTGTTGACATAGTCCAAGAAGCGTCTCTTGTGCCCATCCCCAAATGTTTCCAGCAGTTTCATCAAGGACCTTGCTATCAGCATTACTTGTTTTGATGCCAGTACATCGGTCGCTTTGAGTTGCTTCATATTCAATCGGATTGATTTCCACAGCATCCAACCCAGTAAAGTTGTATGAGGATGACTCATCCAGCACACTGAGAGATTGATGTCGTAGTGTAGCATTTCAATAAGAATGATTTAGCCTTTTCAGTGTCTGTTTTGACAGTTTCTGGTGTTCTCATTGAACTGGTCCATTCCCTTCAATATAGACCAGACAAATTTGATGTCAATTTGAGTGATGATTGTCCAAGGTTATATTAGGTGCTTCTTGACTCAGTCAGTAAAACGGCTGTAATCACACATTTGACTCATTTGAAGTGCAGTTGTCATTTTTATACTCGGACACCACTGAAATGTTTTAAAATGTGAACTTTTTTGAATATGAATTAGTCTCAATTCCAATAATACGTCATTCCAAGCAGCCCATTTAACGCCCCTGACCTTGCAATTTTTTTTCTTTCCTTTAAAAAAACAACAATATTGAGAATAGTTCGTCACAGCAGCACCCTGGCCAAACTATGGGTGAAACATAATGGCAGTCAAGCCACTCGTGTCTACTGCTGGCTGCAACAATATCAGTGACCTTGCCAAGGCCATCAAGCAGGAACTCCCAAACCAATTCTCTGCCGTTGACTCCAACCAAATCTCTATCCATCAGTCACTCCAGGATGCTCCACTTGAACCTGATCTTCCACTTGCGAGCATTTCCACTGCTGGTCTGTCCGCCAAATTACCTCTGATTGTCAAGACTCTGGGATCCTCTGCGCCGGCTCAGAAGACCATCTTCATTCAGGACATTGATGAAGAGTGCTATCCTTTGGATAGCTTTTCCAAATATCTTGTTGAATCAAATGATGATTTGAAACAGATCCTCGAAGGAAAAGGCTCGGCTCTCTACCAGCTGTTCAATCCCAAGGACAAGATTATCAAGTTCAAGCAGTTGATTGATGGGGAAAAGTACAATGTATATTCTCGCTACGAACGGTCGTTTGCTGACGAAGTACGTTGGCAGCAGAATGAAGACAAAGCTATGGAGGAGGAAACTCACTTGGCCGTGAGGCGATTCCTTGCTACCCATCTTGGTCCTTCAGCTGTAGATATGCCAACGGACATTATGGCTGCAGACGGAAAAACCATTGTCCAGGAGTGGGACGCTGTCTTTAAAGATGGAGATGTCCTGTACTTATGCGAGGCCAAGCATAATATGACCTTTGAGCAAGTGAACAAGCTCCCTGCAAGAATTCGCAAGTTCAAGGAGTTTCAAGCCAATGCCCAGCCAGAATTTCGAAATGTCACAAAATATGCTGGGGTGTTGTGTGGTACGTTGTTTCCAGAGGATATTAGAAAGAATGCACACCTTGGATTCATTTGTGTTTATCCATCAGGATATCGTTACGATGTCAAAAAGCCGGAGGATTTCATCATTGAACGTTAATTGTTGTTTGATAATAAAAATAGCTTTACCAAATTTTGAAAATAACAACTGAGTAGTCTTGCATAGAAACAAAATATAACAAATTTCAGGCAATTAGATTCTGCTCAGATTCTAAAAGTCAAATTCAGATTCTAATTAGAAACTAAATGCGTTGAATGTCGGAAAGAATTATTTATGACGAAAGTTTGATATGAAATTATTATACTATTAACTTTTGACCATTTCAGCAGAGAATCTCGCCTAAAAACTGGTATCATCGGATGCCCTATATACTACTGACATGGCTCTTATCGATGGGGTTAAACCTGTTTTGATGGAACTGGAATTGATTGAACCATCACTATATCTATCGTATGATGATACTGCCCTCGAGAAATTTGCCAATGCAGTATTTGCTTTTTTGGAAAAGCAATAATTGCTCTATACTGATTTTTTGATAAAGATGGAGTTTGGTTTTAATGCACAAATGATCTGGGTTGGTTCTAGGCTGGTTTATCCTGTTTCGATACTATCAAGTGCTCACCAATGCAGCTAATTCTTTGTACGAATAAAATCAAATATGTTCAACTTTACTTTTACAGTTGTATTTTCAATTAAACTCCACTCTATTGTATCCTAAACTATCAGATATGTTTCCGTTCTAGTTCAAGAGAACAAGATCGCAGGTTTCGAGAATATACTTGTTTTCATTTCAATCACCAGGATACCAGTCAACTTTGTCAGTTCAAATGACCCAATGTTGTCCAGTAAACTGGCACAACCATTTCATAAAGTTGGTTTTATATCATGTATTTTGACATCCTTATTTAATGTTCCATTTTACGTGAATACGTCGGTGATTTAAATCCTATCAACTTGTCCAAACATTGTTTTGCAAACCCTGACAGTATTTCATAGACTACAAAGTTGCATTCACTATAATACGCTAAACCATGAATAACTTGCCAGAACGGGAGTTTTACACCATTGTTGCTGGTGGTGTAGCTCTTGCTGCTAATGCCGGTTTCATCAATGTCGTCTCTATGGCAGGTTATTTCCAGGCAAGTGCCATGAACCGTGTATCTTGTCGCGCCATCTTCAGTTTGACTTGAATACATGATTGAAGTCTATCCTATCCTTGCATGTATTTCAATTCATAGTGCACAACACAATAAAGTGTTTATTTACCACTTGAATACATATTTCTTTGACCATTTTTCATATCACATACTCCAAACTCGCGTTAGTCTGACTCAAACTATTGATTGCTACAACACGCTTCTTGTATTCTAA